AGGATGTGGAGAAACTGTCATGTATCGCCGTATAGATGAACAGATGCAGAATGGGAAGGTACAATGAGGCAGCTGCTTTGGAAAAGTATGGCGCCCCCTCAAGAAGTTAAACCTGAAGAAATTCTCAAATTCAGACTAAGGCTTTCTTCTGGCACTTCCTGAGGCCATGCACGCATCCTTTGGGCCCTTCACCACCTTCCCGCACCCAGTTCCATGTGGCCCCTGCTTCTCTGGGTCCAGGGCCGACGCTGCTCACCTTTTCCTGGGAGAGTCCTGAAGCCGCTGAGGCAGAGAAGGCCCAGCTCCCTCCACCCCGACGGGACCGCGCTGAGGTCCGATCCAAGCGGGCTCCAGACTCCCCTGCAGGACTGGAGCCGGTCATCCCGCAGCCTCTGCACGACGCTCACCCGGGCTGGCCTCCTCTTCTTCCCAGTCCTCACTGGCCGAGCCTGCGCCTCCCAATAAGCCAAGATTACAGGAAGCCTCACCTCACGGTCTGCTTCTGGGACCCCACCCTGACGCGCATGGTCGGCCTTGCAAGTTCTAAGGCGTTTTGACAAATCGTGCTTTAACCTCCACAGAGGGAAGTCCCGCGGAAACTCCGCGCGGCCCCTGCTCCCGGGCAGGTCAAGGCAGAGCGTGACTTCTGGGGGTCAGGCGCTTCCGGCGGATTTTGAAAGGGGGGCTACAGCTTCCGGAACCCCAGGTTTAAGGCGCCGAAGAATCTAGGGCCACCAGAAACTTGTGGTCAGACAGCAGCTCCCACCCCGCGGAAAACGCACGCTCTTAAAAAGGGGCTGACGCGATGGCGCCAGGTTAGAAACGATTCTCTTTGATCTTTCCGACCCATTTAGGGGATGCTTGAGGCAAAGGATTTCTCGCCCTCTACCCACCCGAGGCCCTGGGCCAGAACTGAGGTGGAAAGCGCTGAAAGAGGCGCGCGCCGGGGGCTCCTGCGGGGACCCCTCAAGCCACTCTCGGCGTCGCCCCGCGGACTCGTTAGCGACATCCCTGTGGGCGCCTCGCCTTCCCGCCCTAGAGGAACGACCAGGTGAGGCAAGGAAACGCCTGGCTGGGGCAGCGGGGACGTGGCCCCTCCCCACGCTTTTGTCCTAACCACCCCCTCGGCGTGCTTCGCCGACCACGCGGCAATGCGGACGCCCAGACTCGGGGGCGGGGCGAAACGGCCCCCCCTTCCGGGAGAGCGAGCGCTTCTGGGCACGGCCCCGCCACACGCCGCCACCATCGCGCCCACTGCCACTTATGGGGGCTCCTCCGCCGGTCAGGGACGTGCTGGGGCAAAGCGGGGCGGGCAGCAGGGGCGAGTTCGTGCTTCTCTCGGGTCCGAAAGGAGCCCTGCGCCGGAAACCCGGGCAGAAACCTCTTGGGAGCGCACCGGAAGTAGCCGTCCGCGGAGGTCTACGCACGCGCTCTCGGTCCGTTCTGGGACAGCCAGTTGACCGCCCACTCGGTGGTTCAACGGTCCCCGACGGGAGCTCGAGGTCCGGGTGAGGAAGGGGGCCTGTTAGTGTGAAGCGACTGTGGGACATCCTGGTGAAGACAGGACCTAAAGCCGGCAGAAGATGCTGTGATGTAGATGCAGATGGGGGCGTCATGGTCAGCGATGCCACTGGCGCTCGCGAGGTTACCCAGAGACCGTGTTGAGTGAGAAGCGACCCTGGTGCACCTGGGGCAGTTGAAGAGGAAAGAGGCCCTGGGCATGGAGACCAATGGGGCGGCCCTGGTGGGAGGTGAGGGACCCAGGGGCCAGGGGCCACAGAGTCCTTGATAGAACTAGGCCCCTGAGACCTCAGTGTTGCTCAGGACTGTTGAGTTCCTTGGAGAATGAGAACTAAGGACTGAAGGTAGAAAAAATATCTGTAGGAAAAATAGGTATCTTGGGAATGTTTCCAGGTGGCTGTGGTTGATGATATCCACAGCAGGAGCCCGGAAGCAACATGTCAGAACCTTAGTCTTGTCACCCATTTGGGGAAAAAGTTATCTCCTAGTCACAAAGATAAAGTTGCCTTTTACCATTAGCCTAGTAAAGTCCACTGTGGTGGCAATGAGCGGTGAAGCCAGCTGGACTTCCTGGATCCAGTGGGAACTTGGAGAACTTATTCTGTCTTATAATGGGATTGTAAAATGCACTAATCAGCACTCTGTAGCTAGCTAGAGGTTTGTAAAATGCACCAGTCAGTGCTCTGTAGAGCTAGCTAGAGGTTTTTAAAATGGACCAATCAGCAGGACATGGGCGGGAACAAATAAGGGAATAAAAGTTGACCACCCCAGCCAGCAGGGGCAACCCACTGAGATCTTCTTCCCTGCTGTGGAAGCCTTGTTCTTTTCCTCTTCACAATAAATGTTGCTGCTACTCACTCTGGGTCCGTGCCATCTTTCAGAACTGTAACACCCACTGTGAAGGTCGGTGGCTCCATTTTTGAAGTCAGCAAGACCATGAACCCACTGGAAGGAACCAACTCTGGACACAGTAACAGTCGCTGCCATTCATGGAGCACCTGCCATGTGCCAGGTGGTGCTAAGTGCTCTGCGTGTGCCAGGTAAGGATTGACATCACCATTTCACAGGTAAGAAAACTGAGGTTAAACAAATTGTCTGTGATCCAGATCCATCTGTCCCACTCCAAAACCCTCTTTTTGCTCCCCCCAGGCTCTGACATTCGATGTGGCTGGCCATCGTAGGGACAGACAAGAGACTGTCTTTAAATGTGTTACTGAATAATTTGGGAGTCATTCTAAACTTCCATCAACTGTAAACTTACTGTCCCAAAGGGCATAGAATGAGATTTTAATTTCATGAGCAGAAACCTAATCATTCATTAGAGAAACACAGAGGAAACTGACATTCAGCTTGGACTCTAAGCCTTAGAGGAAAGAAAATGGAAAGACAAAGAACCAGTAATGTGCAGATACTGTCCAGGCACTGTCCATTCCTCATGTTCTGGTTCCTGTTCCTCCAGCTTCCCTCAAACCTGTGCACAAACGGAGGTACAATCCCAGTGGCAACACCAGGGTTGCTGACAACTTTCGGGCACATGTTAAGAATCTAGCCTCCAGCAGGGCTCAATTTGTGCCCTGGCTTTCTGGTCTTCTATGTCCACTTCCTGGAATGTAGGGATCATCTCAGCATGAGGGAAGAATCAGGTATCAGAGCCTGCAGAGCCACTGTCCAGACTCTGGGCAGGTGAGTTTGCCTCTCAGTAACCTCCCTGCTGATCTCCCCAGTACAAGTGCGCTATGGCCCAGACCCTTGACCACAGCATTCAGCCACAACCAGTGTGGGTTCTTTTTTTGTTTTTGTTTTTTGTTTGTTTGTTTTTACCATAAAATCTCATGTGAAGGAAAAGGAGCCATGAGGGTAATCAAGAAGCCAGTTTATAGTCTGAGGAACAGGGCAGTGTAGCTGTGACACCTGGCTGACAGGTGAGGAGAAGAGCTATGCACACCATGGAGCACAGTACCTTTGTGGGCACAGGGAGCTGCCAGGTGCTTCGCAGACCACGTACCCAGATGGCCTTGAAGAGGAATTCTGAAACCCTCCTGGTTCAAAATATCCTACAACTCCCATGGCTCCAGGACTGAACACACTCCCCAGCAGAGCCTGGCCTTGCAGGATCCTGGTCCTGCCCCGGTCCTCAGTCACACTCCCAACCCCGTGGCATCTGAGAGAATCGGCCTCTTCCCAGCTCATCTGTGTTCCTTCTGCTATCATCTTGTCAATCCTTCAAGGCCCAGTTCTAATTCTTCATCCAAACCTTCCTAACTCCTTTTCCCCAATCAACCCTTCCCTTCACTGCAAGTCCTGTGGCACTTACGACCTTGTCAAGTGTCACCTGGCATCCAATGGTATGCACAACAGGACAAGTGGAAGAGAGTGAGCCAGACAGAAATCAGTGATGCACAGAAGCACCTGTTGGTGACAGCAGCTGCTGCGGCTCCCCTTTTGTGAATGTAAGGTCCGTTTTCCCTGTGAGGAGTAGAGAATTGTAGACAAGACTCAAGAGTCTACCCTCCCCTCCCTTTTGAACAAATTTTTTAGAGACCAGGAGGTCTCTATCACCAACTGGAGTTCAGTGGTGCAGTCATGGCTCACTGTAGTCTCAAACTCCTGGCTCAAGCGATCCTCCTGCCTCAGCCTCCCAAGTATCTGGAAATACACATGCAGGCCACCACACCCGACTAATTTTTAATTTTTTTTTTTTTTGTAGAGACAGGGTCTCAATTTGTAGCCTAGGCTAGTCTTGAACTCCTGGCCTCAAGTGATCCTCCTGCCTCAGCCTTCAAAAGTGTTGGGATTACAGGCGTGAACCACCGTGCCCAACCCCTCCCTTTTTTTTTTTTTTTTTTTTTTTTTTTTTTTTTTTCCAGACACAAGGCAACAGCTTGTTTCTTACACCCAGGACTAGGGGTGGAACCCTGGAGAGTATGTGGGTCTGGCTACTCTTCTCTGCACCTCAAGCCTTGGAAGACAGAGGGTCATCCCTGGCTCAGGTTGTGCCATTGTCTGATGACGAAGGAGGGGCAGATGGATGCATTTCATAGCTGTGTTCCTCTCAAAGCTTTCTTCCTTTCCCCTCAGACTGTGCCTAGAGGAAAAATCTAACCAGAAACTTTTTTTTTGAGACGAGTTTCACTCCGTCACCTAGGCTGGAGTGCAGTGGTGTGATCTCAGCTCACTGCAACCTCTGCTTCCTGGGTTCAAGCAATTCTCTTGATTCACTGGAGTAGCTGGGATTACAGGCGTACACCACCACGCCTGGCTGATTTTTATATTTTTAGTAGAGACAGAGTTTCTCCATGTTGGCTGGGCTGTTCTCAAGTGATCCACCTGCCTTGGCCTCCAAAAGTGCTGGGATTGTAGGCATAAGCCACTGCGCCCAGTCAGTCAGAAACTTTTCAACAGCTACTTTGTATAAGCAATGAACTATTCAGTTATATCTATGATTTGAAGTTCACAAAATCAATTGCTCTTACCATCAATGGCTTTATAATCCTTTATTTTGTGTTTCTACTTTAATGACATTATTGTATGCATCACTATTTCAATTCGAATTACCTTTGGGAGGTGTGAACTAGATATAAGTAATCTTTAACACATATATTTTTGGGCCAGAGACTTGCTCTGTTGCCTAGGCCAGAGTACAGTGGTACAACCATGGCTCACTCCAGCCTCAACCTCCTGAGTTCAAATGATCCTTTCACCTCAGCCTCCCAAGTAGCTGGGATGGCAGGTACCCACCACCATACCTGGCTAACTTTATTTCTTTGTAGAGATGGGGTCTCACCATGTTGCCAGGCTGGTCTCAAAGTCCTGGCCTCAAGGGATCCATCTTGGTCTCTCAGAATGCTGGGATTACAGGCGGAAGCCACTGTGCCCAGCCTTGATTTCATTTCATAGTGAAAACTTCATTCTAAAGTCAAGGATTTTATTTTATCCTAAGCTGCTGAAGGCTTATGTTAAAATAATTTTATGTTTTCAGTGTAGCCAGTAGCCGCAATGGATTGCCTTCTGATGAAAATACAGATCCTACATATTGGTGTGGCTGACACTCATTCTACATGCTTTCAGATTTAAGAAACTTGGTGCAGAGGTATAGGAAGCTACCTCAGCTATTCTGTTTGGTTTCACGAAGACCTTGAGTCATTGCTCATCATTGTTCAGGATAAAAAGGCAGCTTTGGGGACCCAACACTAACTCTAATGGTTTTCCATTTTCCTGTGCATCCACTTTGGGGGTTGCATTTATCTGCCTCTCTGTGGGTCTGGTCTCTGCTTCTGGTTTCTGCATATTTGAGATCAGGCCACACCATGGATCCTGGTCTCCCCTAGCATTTCCAGTGGCATTCCCAGCCAGGAATAAGGCTTTGTCTCCATCTGACAATCCCAGTCTAAAGCAAGATTCCCTACAGAGCATGGCCACCCTGCGGCAAGCACCTGCTAGGGCATTTTATTCAAAAGGGCAACAGCAGGAACCCACATTTTCACCTACTTCCCACAGTACACCAACGCCTCTCATATCCATTATATTCTCTATGAATTATCTCATTGTAAATAATATGTGAGTTCCAGCTAAATGTTTTTTCAACATTCATTACATCCATCGGGGTTCTCTCCAATAGGAACTCTCATGACATTGTATAATGAGCTACAATGAAACGCTTCCCACCTTTGTTGCATTCTTGGATGCTTTTCCCTCCTGTATGAATTGAGGGGTTCCTCTCCAGTAGAATTTGTGAGATAGTGACTGAGAAGCTAGCTCACCCTGAAAGCCTGCGCACATTCCTTTAACTTATATTCGCTCTCCATAGTGTGAATAACCTAATGTCTAGTAAGAGTTGAGCTCTGGCTGAAGCATTTCCCACATTCACTACATGCGTGTGGCTTCTCTACAGAATGTGTTCTATGGCAATGAATCAAGTGTGATATCTGAATGAAGCCTCTCCCACACATGACACACAAGTAAGTTTTCTCTCCAGTGTGTATTCTTTGATGATCAATCCGGTGTGATGTTTGAAGCCCCTTCCGCACTCATTGCATTTTTAGGGCTTCTCTCAAAAATGCATCCTTTGATTATGAATCATGTGTGATGGCTGACTGAAGCTTTTTCCACACTCTTTACATTCAAAAAGTTTCTCTCCTGTACGAATTCTCTGATATTGCCTGGGATTTGCTTTCGGATTAAAGGCTTTCCCACACTCAATACATTTATAGGGCTTCTCTCCAGTATGTATCAGTTGGTGTTTAATAAGGTTTGAATTCCCACTAAAAGCTGTGCCATATTCATTCCACCCATAGGGCTTTTCTCCAGTATGAATTATCTGATGTTTAACAAGTTTTGATGTCTCCCTAAAGCCCTTGCCAAATTCACTACACACATAGTGTTTCTCTCCACCATAAATTTTCTTTTCCTTTTTTTTTTTTTGAGATGGAGTCTCACTGTCTCCCAGGCTGGAGTGCAGTGGCGTGATCTCTGCTCACTGCAAGCTCCGCCTCCCAGGTTCACGCCATTCTCCTGCCTCAGCCTCCCAAGTAGCTGGGACTACAGGCGCCCGCCACCATGCCTGGCTAATTTATTTTTGTATTTTTAGTAGAGAAGGGGTTTCACCGTGTTCGCCAGGATAGTCTCAATCTCCTGACCTTGTGATCTGCCCGCCTCAGCCACCCAAAGTGCTGGGATTACAGGCGTGAGCCACCGCGCCTGGCCTTTTTTTTTTTTTAGACGGAATCTCACTCTGTCACGCAGGCTGGAGTGCAGTGCCGCAATCTCAGCTCACTGCAACCTCCGCCTCCCTAGTTCAAGCAATTCTTCTGCTTCAGCCTCCTGAGTAGCTGGGATTATGGGCATGCACCACCACACCCAGATAATTTTTGTATTTTTAGTAGAGATAGGGTTTCACCATCCACAGTGAATTTTCTGATGTTGTATAAGGCTTGAGTTGTGATTTTTTCCCCACATTCAATACATACACAAGGCTTCTCTGTAGTATGAATTATCTGATGCCAAGTAAGGTGTGAGTTCTTGCTGAAAGACTTCCCACACACATGACATCCATGGGGCTTTGACCCACTGGTAACTGCTTGATGTCCACTCAGACATGACTCACAGGGAAAGCCTCAGCCACCCATCCTCCAGCTACTGGCTCTCTCTTCTGGCCTGTCCCTCAGACGTACAACAGGTTTTGTGCCCAGAGACAAACTTTTCTCCAATTTATTACATTCCTGGTATTTGTCTGCTGCATTGATTTTCAAGTGGGAGCTGACCACTTGCCTCGAACCTCTCTTTTGGGGAAATAACTTCATCCTGGGTTTTTTTGTTTGTTTTTTGAGACGGAGTCTTGCTGTGTCGCCCAGGCTGCAGGCTGGAGTACAGTGGCGCAGTCTCGGCTCACTGCAAGCTCCGCCTCCCGGGTTCTGGCTATTCTCCTGCCTCAGTCTCCTGAGTAGCTGGAACTACAGGCGCCCGCCACCACGCCCAGCTAATTTTTTGTATTTTTAGTAGAGACGGGGTTTCATGGTGTTAACCAGGATGGTCTCAATCTCCTGACCTCATGATCTGCCCACCTCAGCCTCCCAAAGTGCTGGGATTACAGGCGTGAGCCACCGCGCACGGCCATCCCGGTCTTTATTGTGAATTTTTTCCAGCAATATTCTGCTCCTGTCTCAATCCTGCAAGCTGATCGAAACTCAAACTCCTCTGGATTGCCTCTTGGGAAAATCTCCTGAGTTACTCCTTGTAATTGTTCTTCAGATTTTTCTGTTGGAGTTGATTGTTTATGCTTTGTCTTGACCTAAGAATCTGAAACAAAGAATGGAAATTAAAAGTTTCTCTGTGAAAGAAGAAACTGATTGAGCCAAAGCAAATTTCTGTGCAGCTCATATTTGCCAGCCTGAGTTGAGTTTTATTTTCCCTTCTGTTAATGACTTTATTCCATTTGTCTTGTATCACGCTTAGTTGTGTGTGTCCATCTCTCTCTGACTGGACTGAAATTCTGAGGGCAAATGCCTTCTCACACAGATACTTGCGGCACCTTGATGGCACAGTGCACAAAGCAGGAACTGACAACTAAAGAACTAGGGATTCATTCCAGCAGTGTTTGCCAGGTCCTCCTGGGTGCCTGGCACTGCCTGAGGTACCAGGGACTTGGTGAATGAATGAAGTCCCTGTCCCTTAGCATTCTAATGTGGAGACCAACAATATGATAGGACATCAGGGCAGGGTAAATCATTCTTCCCCAAACTACGATGTTCTGCACAAACCAAAATGTACACTCCCTGAAGACAAGGACTTGGTTTTGCTTATACTTAACCCCAGCACCTAGAAGAATGCCTGCATGCAAGCAGCGTGCAAACTGTGGAAATAGGAGAGGGTGCTGGGGGCATGCTCCCATGTGAACACAATGTGGAGTTTTGTTTGTACTTTGACATGTAAGCGCTAATCAGCTCATCAGGGAAGCCTGGTCACCACTAGAAAATGGCTGTCCCACCTGAGTAGCTGCACAAGGAGTAGCACAATGGGCTTGCACTTCTCCTCAGAGGGAAGGTGGGGCCAGGACGGGAGCCAGAAGAGACAATCAGGGGTCTCTCAGCTGGCCATTCAAACTCCCCCCTCACAGCTCACATGCACAACACATCACGGCTTCCCCTGAGACACCTACCTCCTCACTCACCTGTGCAGGGAGGCCCTGGCAGAGCAATGACCCATGGCATTTTCCCCTGCTTCCGCTGGGAAATAACCCTGAGTGTGGACACTGAAAAACCTGTTTATCAAGAAGATAATGGTCAGTGCTGGAATATCTGAGCTGCCCCTGGCTGAGGGCCACAGAGGCTGCAAGAAGAGGGGGATCCAGAGGCGGTCTCGAGAAGAATGGGTGATGAGATCATTGGGCACTCCCTGCTGGGACATGGGTACTGGGGATGTACCATACCCATGGACTGGGGATGTTTGGTCTATGAGTCAAGAGAGCCCAAGGGACCAGTCACCTGGGGATGGGGAGCAGGGACCTGAAACCCACCATGTGATGCTTATCCAGAGCTGTTAGGGTGCAGTGGTTCTCTAGCATCACATCCTGGTGGAGTGCTCTCTGAGGGGGTCCCAGGTGCTGCCCCTCCTCCTGTGTGAGGTACATGGCCACCTCCTCAAACATCACTGTGCCCTAAAATCACAGGTGCTCACTGCCCAGAGAACCTCACCCCTGCCCAAGGGCAGGCACACCTTGCAGCTTGGACTGAATTTCTAGCAAGAGGCTCTGTGTGCGTCTCCCTACCTTCCAGGCAGATGTTTAGGAAAAGAGCTAGGGGTAGGTTGGGCAGGGAAAGTGTGACTATGGAAACACAGAGCTCTCAAAACTGGGCTCTCCCCTCAGGGCCCTGCACCCTGCTCAGCTCTGTGGAAGGGGCAGCCAGTGGGTTGGGCCTGCATCTGGGGAGGGAGATTCTGTTCTCAGGGCCCCAAGGGTCTGCTGGGCAAGGGGCTCCAGGCTGAGGGGGAGAGGCCTTGGGCAGCAACTGTTCCCCAAAGGTCAGCTCACCTGGGGCTCAGCCACCATCGCTGGGCTCCTCCTGGGAAGGTTAGAGGCAGGGTGTCAAAAGGAAGACACAGAAGGGCAAGCCCATGCCCCGCAGACCTGTGTGCTGCAGCGGCCCCAGGTCACAAGCTGTCTTAGGAGGCTGGTGACCCTGCATTTCCTTCAGCATGAAGGGTACTTGCCCCCAAGACCTTCTCACCTGGGCTTAGTGCTGCTGCAGAGCCCTTGAATTCAGGTTCAAGGGTGATACTGTGCCTCTGCTGCTTGGAGTCTGGGGGATGTGACCTGACCCTGACCCTGCCTGGCAACACCTCCCCCTGGTACCCTCTCCCACCCCCAGAGTTCGGGTCCACTGCGGGCTCCCTCGGGTCTCCAGCTTGCCCTCCTCCCTAGGGCACCTCAAATCAATGCCTTGCAGGGGTGAGGCATGTTCAAGAGGGGCTGGAGTCATGCTGGAGGGGTGTGCATCCTCAGAGTTGCCAGCAGGAGGACCTATAGTTCAGGCCTGGAGAAAACCCTTTTGGTAGAGCTGGCAGCAGGCCCCAGGTTGGGAATGGCAAGGGATGGCGGCTCACCCCTCCACCTGCTCCCCTCCTCCTCAGCCGCCCCCACCCCTGCCTGAGGCCAGGGCACCTCCCACCCCCAATCACCACCCTGGTCCTTGGTCTCCCAGTCTCTGCCCGCCCCTGGCTCAGCCCACTGTGACTTGGGTTTGTAAATTGGCTTCCTCAGCAGGCCCCTGGCCCATGGCCCTGTCCATCTTGAGGCCTCAGCTCTGCAGCCTCCTTGAACCCCTTCGAAAGAGGCCACCACAAAAGAAGCCACCATGGCATCGTGGTTGCGGGTGGAGGGGCATGGCCTGAGCTGGACCCGGGAAAGGTGGTCAGCAGGGGTCTGCCCCCAGCCGCTAGGGGACAGGCCATAATTGGTTGCATGTCACCTCAACGACCTCTGCCTCATGGACAGCAGAGACCACGACTCCACCCACTGGGGCATGAAGGACAGGGAGTGTTAATCTGTGTGGGCTCCAGGTTACACCCAGAACATGGAGTATAACACAGATAGATGGCCACACGTGGTCACAAGTCAGTGTCCTAAAGAGAAACAAAAAGCAGGGAAGCTATTCCAGATTAAAAGAGCCAGCGAGATGCGGTGGCTTAGGCCTGTAATCCTAGCACTTTGGGAGGCCAAGGCAGGTAGAGCCTTTGAGTCCAGGAGTTTGAGACTAGCCTGAGCAATATGGTGAGACTTGGTCTCTATAAAAAAATACAAAAAATTAGCTAGGCATGGTGGCACATTCTTGTAGTTCCAGCTACTCGGGAGGCTGAGGTTGGAGGATCACCTAAGCCTGGGAGGTTGAGGATGCAATAAGCCGTGATCGCGCCACTGCACTCCAGCCTTAGGGACAGAGTGAGACCTGGTTTCAAAAAAAAAAGGAGTCTGAAGAGACACAATTAAATGCAACATGCAACTTTGATTTGATTAGCTTCTGAATTAGAGGGGAAAAACCCAGCTATGCAGATATTTTAGAGACAATTGGAGAAATTGGAGAAATAAGAGTTTTGTGACCATGGGATTGTTTGTTTGTTTGTTTTGAGACGGAGTCTTACTCCGTCGCCAGGCTGGAGTGCAGTGGCGCGATCTTGGCTCACTGCAACCTCTGCCTCCTGATTCAAGTGATTCTCCTGCCTCAGCCTCCTGAGTAGCTGGGACTACAGGCGCATGCCAACACACCCAGCTAATTTTTAGTAGAGACGGGGTTTCACCATGTTGGCCAGGATGGCCTTAATCTCTTGACCTCGCGATCCGCCCGCCTCAGCCTCCCAAAGTGCTAGGATTACAGGCATGAGTCACCGTGCCAGGTGACCACGGGATTATTGTTAATTCTCTCAGGTGAAATAAAGTATTGCTATCATGTAAGAGAATGTCCTCACCTCTAGGAAATAGGCTGAGGTACCTAAGGGAAAGTGCCATGATGTCTACAAATTACAGCGGACCCTGGAACAACACAGGTTTGAACTGCGAGGATTAGTTATAATTGGATTTTCTTCCGCCTCAGTCACCCCTGAGATTGCAAGACCAATCCTCCTCTTCCTCCTCCTCCTCGGACTACTGAAGGTGAAGACAATGAGGATGACCCACTTTCACTTAATGAATATTAAATATATTATCTCTTCCTTGTGATTTTCTGAACACCATTTTCTTTTCTCCAGCTTATTTTAAGAATAGAGTAGCCGGGCACAGTGGCTCACGCCTGTAATCCCAGCACTTTAGGAGGCGGAGGCGGGTGGATCATGAGGTCAAGAGATCGAGACCACAGTGAAACCCCATCTCTACTAAAACAAAAAAATTAGCTGGGCACGGAGGCGGGTGCCTGTAGTCCCAGCTACTCAGGAGGCTGAGGCAGGAGAATGGCGTGAACCGGGGAGGCGGAGCTTGCAGTGAGCCGAGATGGTGCCACTGCACTCCAGCCTGGGCGACAGAGCAAGACTCCGTCTCAAAAAAAAAAAAAAAAAAAAAGAATAGAGTATATAATACATATAAAAATATGTTAATTGACTATATTATGCATAAGGCTTCCAGTCAACAGTAGGCTATTAGTAGTTAAATTTTAGGGGAGTCAAAAGTTATGCTTTAATTTTCAACTGCACAGGGGTCACTGCCCCAACCCCTGTATTATTCAAGGGTCAACGGTATTTTCAAATTACTTTTCAGCAACAAAAAGTAAATATATTCAAAGATACAGCCAGTGTGGCAAAATGTCAACGACTGTAGAATCTAAATGAAGGGTTTATGATGTTCATAATACTTTTTTGTGGATTTGAACATTCTCAAAATCACGAGCAGTGTGGAAAGTAAAAAGCTCCTCTTCAAAGTTTCTACTTCAAATCAGAAATGTTATTGGTATTTTCTCCACGAGCTAGTTCTGTTCAAGCTCCTTATTTTATAGTGATAACTCTGTTAAGCTTTATATAGCAAATGTAACGGAATAAGCATACAGTATGCCTGTATACTCTGACTTCAGTATTTGTGTTAGACATGTTCACAGGTATGTAGTACATTCTGTGTCCTTTTACCTTAACCAAAATATTCGTGCTGGACATGCCCAGACATGTCCCAGCTTGCAGCCTATGCCCCTTCCTTATTTGGAAATGTTATTACTGTTCTAAAGTCCTTTCGTAAGCAACTTCCTCTTTTCCTTTGTTCCTCATTGACTTTACCTATTTAGGAAGTTTTAAATTGTTAGCCAATCAAATTCAGCCTAGAATGTGAGGTTCAACTCCAGCCAATGGAGACAGGACACAGCAGTAGGGGCCTCATGCATTAGGGATAAATATTCCTGTCTCCCTTTGTTCGGTGTACTCTCGTGGCGAGACTGCTGGCAAGCAGTACCATTTCTGCAGAAAGTAAAGTTGCCTTGCTGAGAGAACTTTTTGTCTAAATGCTGACTCGTCCTTGCGACACCAGGGAATAAGCATTTATTTCTAAGAAGTAGCAATAGAAGACACCACTCTGGCTTCCTACAGAGGGCAGTGTGGAGGCAGGAGAGGACAGGGGAGGAAACCTGTGGTCCAGGGTCCAGTGGCCTTTTCCTATCTTAGTGCTCCACGGAGGTACCACCTGTCATCACCACCCCATGGCCATTCATGCTTGAGAGGAGAGTCCTGCACAGACAGAGCCAGGCTCTGCTCCACATTTCCCTCTTTAGGCTATTCCCTGGCCCCCACCACCCCCAGCACGCTTCCGGCCCAAGAGCCGTGCAAGGACAGCAGGGCGGCTTCCAGATATCTTGTAGGGCATTGGACGTGAGAAAAGCTGAGAGAGGAGCCCTGGGTGACCCTTGAGTGGAATCAATGAATGAACGAATGATTTCCTCTCACCTCCTCGAGTTTACTTCATATTGGTGGATCGTCTCAGGAAGACTCCAAAAGTGACTGCCACCACTCAGCTTTCTGGCAGTACAAGTGGGGAAAACGCAGGGCTGGAGGATGAGGCCAGAGGTGGGAGTCTCGCTTGTCCCTGGACCCTCCCTTTCTCACTTTCACCAGACAAAATGGCGGACCCCGCCCAGAAACCACGTCCCCACCTTAGAGGACACAGCCCCGAGACAACTCCGCTCGTCCTGCACTAACCTCACCCGAAAGCACGTCATTCACCCTTCACATATCCTGCTCCAGGAACACTCTCCTCACCCTTCACAGACCCGCACCACCGGCAACATGGCTCTCAGCCTTCACAGACCCTCAAGCCAGGAAAACACCCCTCTCCCTTAACAGTCCCTCATGCCGGAAAAACTCTCATCCTTCACAAACACCCCCACCCCAGGAACACGCCCCTCACCCTTCACAGACCCTCATTCCGGGAACGCGCCCCTCACCCTTCACAGACCCTCATTCCGGGAACGCGCCCCTCACCCTTCACAGACCTGCACCAGCGGCAACACGGCTCTCACTCTTCACAGACCCTCAAGCCGGGAAAACGCCCCTCACCCTTCACCAGCCCCTCATGCCAGAAAAACTCTCATCCTTCACAAACACCCCCACCCCAGGAACACGCCCTCACCCTTCACAGACCCTCACTCGGGGAACAAGCTCCTCAGCCTACACAGACCTGCACCCCATGACCACACCTCTCACCCCACCCAGGGACACGCCCCTTGTCCTTTATAGACTCCGCCCCGCGACCGCACATCCTTCAGAGACCCGGCCTCGCCCCTGCATCCCTTGTAGATCCCGCCCTGTGACCACACCCCTCGCCCTTCATAGGCACCGGCCCGCCACCGTCACCTTTTATTGGCCCCGCTCCGTGACCACGCCCCCGCACCCTTGATAGACTCCACCCCCGAAGACCCTTCGCAGGAGCACAGTGACCCCGCCTCCACAGGGTCCGCTCCGCCACCCTGACCCTTCCGTGTCGCTCGCGGGGCCCCACCCCTGTCCGCCTGCTCCAGTGCCCATGGGGAAGCCTGGTGCCAGGGGCCACCAGTCAGACCAACTCATCGCCCGACTGGTGGGACGAGCACAGGTCGGCAGGTCACAGGCCGGAAGTGAGGCTCGCCCGGCCGCTCTAGGACGCGGGAAGACCGAGGCCTCGGTGATTCCCCTCCCCCCGGCCTGGCTCCCTCAGGAGAAGGCGCAGCCAAGCGAGGACCCGACATCGCGGTCGTACCCGCCTTCTTTTCTGGCCCGGAGTACGGCCTGGGATCTCCAGGGGCGGAGACTGAATGGGTGCTGTCGAGGACCGGCGAGAGTCTGGAAAGTTGGCGCCTTGGTGGGAGACCGAGGAGGTGACGGATAGGGAAGCGGGAGCGGCCGCTGGGTGGGACGCCTGAGACCCTCAGGAAATGGCCGGGTCGCCGACTGTTTGCACCACTGGCATCCTGCAGCACTGTGAGATGCGGCCCCGTTTTTTCCCGGAATGTAAATCATCCGGCACAGAAAAGAATGCGATTCACGGAGAAAGAGTTCTGTCTCCTCTCTGGGCACAGCTCTCTCCTTCCTGGACGACAGCGGCCCCGGACAGGCTGGGGGCCCCCGACAGGTTCCAGCCCGGAGGAAGGCGCTGTGTCTGAGGCATGCGGTGGAGACAGAGAACCTTGATGGATTTTATTCTTGTGAGAAGCCCGCTTTCCTACCTAAACCTCATGTCCATTGGTGACGGGAAGTTAACTTGGGCACTGATCCAGCCCACCCAGGCCGCCATGGTGCCCAGACCGTCCCACCCTCCCGTCCCCTAAGCCCACCACGCTGCCCTCCCATTCCCTAGCCCACCAGCACCCCGCCCCGCCCTGCCGCCGAGCGCCCACACAGCCTCCCCTCCGTGCCCCAGCCCACCAGCCCCCTAAGCCTCCCACAGCGCCGCGCCCCACAGCGCCTCACAAGGCCTCAACCTCGGGTCCCTCAGCCCCACAGCCCCTGACAGCGCCAGGCCCCACCCCACAATACCCCACAGCGCCCCACCGCCTCCCACCCCCACCTCAAGGCCCTAACCTATGACCCTCCACATTGCCCCACCCACACAGCACCCACACACCGGCCCGCCCCAAGGTGCCCCACAACACCCCACCCCACAGCTCCCCAGAGTGCCCCTTCCCATAGCCCCCCACACCATCCCGCCCCGCAGCGCCAGCCCCAAGGCCCGGCCAATGGCCCCGCCCCACTGCCTTGCCCCTTCCATCCCCCACACCGCCCTGCCCTACAACACACTACCCCCCTATCCTCTATAGCGCCCCCACCTTCAGTTCCCACACCACCCTGCCCCACAGCGCCCCTCACCGCCCCATCTCCCAGGGCTTACAGTCCCCACACTCTGCATCCCCCAGCGCCTGAGAGGCTGGGCTCCTGGTACTTCCCAAGAGACAAGAGGTGCCTCCCGCGCCCTGTGCAGTGAGAAGCCCTGGAACTCCAGGACCCTGCTTTTTTAGGCAGAATGTTATGGATGGGCCACTCCAAAGAGAAACACGGCTGGGGTCTTCTCACTGGGGTTGCAGGCCGTAGGATGGTGTGAACACTCCACCTCTGTTCACATCTTGGACCCCCCAATCTCCCTAAGGAAGGGGTGGCCTTCTCCCTGCAAGAAAGCTTCTGAGGCCTTAGAGGCGAAGCTGTGTCCTCATTCCACTCTCCCCGATACCCAAGCCAACAAGGAGATGCCCTGACCCACTCATGGCCAAGGACACCAGTGGAAACAGCCTTCCTCCTCTCAGTACAGACTGTGCCAGGCAGGCCAGGAAAAGCCAAGAAAATGTGGATGGAACAGACAGGTTCCTAGCAAAATGCTAAAGCTGAGCCAAAGTAGAATACTTGAATTAACTAATTGCCAAAAAAAGAGATTAGAGAGGTGATTAAAAAGCTACCATTAAGAAAGCTCCAGGTGGGGGCCAGGCGCGGTGGCTCAAGCCTGTAATCCCAGCACTTTGGGAGGCCGAGACGGGCGGATCACGAGGTCAGGAGATCGAGACTATCCTGGTTAATACGGTGAAACCCCGTCTCTACTAAAAAGTACAAAAAACTAGCCGGGCGAGGTGGCGGGCGCCTGTAGTCCCAGCTACTTGGGAGGCTGAGGCAGGAGAATGGCGTGAACCCGGGAGGCGGAGCTTGCAGTGAGCTGAGATCTGGCCACTGCACTCCAGCCTGGGCGACAGAGCGAGACTCCATCTCAAAAAAATTAAAAAAAAAAAAAAAAAAAGAAAGCTCCAGGTGGCTCCAGATCACAGCTGAACTCTCATCAACCTTTAGAGATCAGATAATTATTCCAAGCCACAGAAAAAGATTAAAAACCTCAATTCACTTTACGAAGCCTTCTGTCTATAAGCTTGTCTAAGTCTGTGCTGCTATAAGGGAATACCTGAGACTGGGTAATATAAAGAAAGGAGGTTTATTTGGCTCACAGTTCTGCAGGCTGTGCTGGAAGCATGGCACCAGTATCTACTGGTGAGGCCTCAGGCTGCTTTCACTTATGGTGGAAGATGAATGGGAGCTGGTATGCAGAGATCACACAGCAAGAGAAGAGGCAAGAGAGAGAGTGGGTAGAGGCCAGGCTTGTTTACACAACCAGTTCTTGGGGGAATTCATAGAACTAGAACTCCCTCATTACCATGAAAAGGGCACCATGCATTCATGAGGGATCCACCCCCATAACCCAAACGTCTCCTACCAAGTACCACCTCCAGCATTGGGGATCAAATCTCAGCATGAGGTTTGGGAGGACAAACACCCAAACCATAGTGAAGCTTAACAAGCCAAAATGATAGAGCCCAAAGAATCTATAGACCCAGATCTCTATGTTTAATATTGAAAAATTATAAGTAAGACAGTAGCAAATAGAATCAAGCAACATATCAAAAAAATATTATGCCATGGCCAAGTATGGTTTATTTCAGGAATGCAAGGATACCTACATACCATTGCAATTCATTAGCTCAACAAATTAAAAGAGAAAAAACAGGCCGGGTGCAGTGGCCCACACCTGTAATCCCAGCACATTGGGAGGCCGAGGCAGGAGGATCACCTGAGGTCAGGAGTTCGAGACCAGCCTGGCCAATATGGTGAAACCCCGTCTCTACTAAAAATACAAAAAAATTAGCTAGGTGTGGTGGCAGGTGCCTGTAATCCCAGCTACTTGGGAGGCTGAGGCAGGAGTATTGCCTGAACTCGGGAGGTGGAGGTTTCAGTGAGCCGAGATCACGCCATTGCACTCCAGCCTGGGCAACAAGAGCAAAACTCCGTCTCAAAAAAAAAAAAAAGAAAAAAGAAAAAACAGCATTCCATCAACATACGGTAAATAATAACAACATATGGGAAACAATCAACATATGGTAAATGAAATTGAATAAAATTCTGGAGCTATTCTGAGTAAAATTTCAAAGAAAATAAGAATAAATGAAAATGACTTAAATATGCTAACAATTATTAACCATAAGCTCCAAGAACAAGCATCATTTATAGAACAATATGCTAAAGCTATTACTCTTTTTTTTTTTTTTTTGAGAGGAATCTTGCTTTGTCACCCAAGCCACGATCTCAGCTCACTGCAACCTCCTCCAGGTCCTGGGTTTAAGCGATTCTCCTGCCTCAGCCTCCCAAGTTAGCTGGAACTACAGGCGCATGCCACCACGCTTAGCTAATTTTTTTTTTGTATTTTTAGTAGAGACGGGGTTTCAGTATGTTGGTCAGGCAGGTCTCAAACTCCTGACTTCAAGTGATCCGCCTGCCTCAGCCTCCCAAAGTGCTGGGATTACAGGCATGAGCCCCTGCGCCTGTAATTTAAAATAAGATAGTAAATTTTATGTTATGTGAATTTTACCACAATACACAATTTTTAAACTCAGAGCAATAAAAATCTTAGTGAAAATTTAGAATATCATATGTACAAAGTAGAGCAGAGGAATACTTTGTAACAATGACAGGCACTCAGAAGCTGTAAAAAAACAGATAAGACATATTTACTAAAGCTATTACTTGGGCCAGGCGCAATGGCTCACACCTGTAATGCCAGCTCTTCAGGAGGCCGAGGCAGGTGGATCACTAGAGACCCAGAATTTAAGACCAGCCTGGCCATCATGGTGAAACCATGTCTCTACTAAATACAAAAATTAGCTGGGTATGGTGGTGCATGTCTGTAATCTCAGCTACTTAGGTGGCTGAAGCACGAGAATCACTTGAACCTGGGAGGTGGAAGTTGCAGGGAGCCAAGATCACGCCACTGCCCTCCAGCCCAGCCTGGGAGAAAGAGTGGACTCTGTCTCAAAAAAAAAAAAAAAAGCTATTACTCAAAATCAGGAATAAGACCAGGACACCAACCTACATAATTTTTGGTCTACATTTGCTATGGACAGAATTATGTTCCCCCAAAATTCGTATTTGAGACTCTAACCGTCCATATGACTGTACCGGAGATAGGGCCTTTGTGTTAGTCTACTCTGGCTGCCATAACAAATACCACAGGTTGGGTGGCTTAAACAATAGAAATTTATTTTCTCATAGTTCTGGAGGCTGGAAGTTTGAGATCAGAGTTCCGGGATGGAGAGTTTCTCAAGGGGTCTTTTCCTAGCTTTCAGAGAGCTGCCTTCTCACTCTGTCCTCATGTGACATGGAGAAAGACAGGCCTCATTTCTAGTGTATTGTCTTGTAAGGGCACTAATCCCATCATGAGGACTCCACTCTCATGACCTTTAATTCTAATCACCTCTCGAAGGCCCCGTCTACAAATGTGATTACAATTGGGGTTGGAGTTTCAATATATGAATTTCAGGGTGACACAAACATTCAGTCCATAACAGCCTTTAAGGAGGTGATGGCCGGGCGCGGTGGCTCAAGCCTGTAATCCCAGCACTTTGGGAGGCCGAGATGGGCGGATCACGAGGTCAGGAGATGGAGACCATCCTGGCTAACACGATGAAACCCCGTCTCTACTAAAAAATACAAAAAACTAGCCGGGCGCGGTGGCGGGCGCCTGTAGTCCCAGCTACTCCGGAGGCTGAGGCAGGAGAATGGCGTGAACCCGGGAGGCGGAGCTTGCAGT